ACTCTGGGTCGTATTCTAGAACTCTATTCAATGCTCAAGTCAGGATTGCACTGGCAACACAAGCACTGGAAATACGACCCTAATGACAGGGATTTGAGTATGATTTCGAGTGTTTTAAACCATACTCAAATCCTGACTTGAGCATTGAGTAGAGTTCTAGAATACGACCCATAATGCTTACCATCGTGATGAACGTATATATTTGCCAATCGGCGTTAGGTACTCTCGGGTTCCTTTCGTGCACCCAACTCATGCACTTGTGTAATTGATTAATGTTGAATATTTCTAACAACTGCGGCTTTCCTTTGGACTTCCCGAGCTGTGGTTACCCGTTAACTTGTATTTTAGAAAACGATTATTCAGATTCCGTTTTAGGTTTTACGGTGGCTCTAATTTTATGGCCAATGTCAAGACCAGTGTAGTATACAAACGCAACCTCAATGTAAACTAGACAAAGGTTTATGTTGCCCTTGTATTATAACAAATAGATGTTCAACTTAAATGCGAATGATTACTGTAAATTGAAGTTTATTTACAAGTTTACGAATTTGAAATGGATGTATAAAGAGTCTTGTCTAGGGTCCATTCAATAACGAAACAACCTCTTTGTGTCTATGTGAAAATCGTTAATGAAAAAGTGAAGTTGTATCGTAGCCCTTTTTGTATTAGAATTCTTCTAATGAACTTAAGTATTTTCTAGTACACATGGCATAACAGATAGGTTTACATACAATTACATACACACGTGATGAATAACAACAAGATCAGCATACAAACTGGGTTTGGGGCTTCTTTCGTCCTACAAAATTTTACTAAATGTCTGCAAAAGGAGATTTTTTGCATAGTAGAAGCGGCTGTCACACATTGCGTAGAGTCGTCACATTATTATTGTATTTGTACCTACAGGTTGTAAACATAATTTGAAAAAACAAAAAGGTATTCATGTGTATCAACAGAATCACTTGTTGTATTGAAATAACCTTAGTCAAATGAAGTACTAACATTTGATATTTTTATACCGGGATAATGATTATGGGATGTGATCATAAAATATATGATATACACATTTAAATTTAAAAAAATATATGGACAAAACAACATTTTAAACACCGGGCGTACGTTTAATTTCTTTAATGAATGTCGGTGCGACGAGTGCACCGCAAAATTGTGCGAATGTGTTCGTCTTGCAACAATTGGTAATCTAATTGTCTTATTATACTATGTTTTTTGTCTGTTTGCGCCTTTGCATTTTAATACATAAAAAAAACTTGGGACCAGTTTGTGTTTTTAGTCATGTTATTGTACCTATCTCATTTGCCAACTTTTATAAACATTTAAGGAATAGATGTGTGTACCGAATGGTGTCTATTAATTATTAACATATAATTTAGTCAATTTTAATTGTTAATCACAATTTTCAATGCATTGTTTTATATAATTTTCTTTCAACTTTCTTGCTTTCTCTTCTCTACTATTTCCAGTAGAAAAGTAATTTAAGCTTGCTTGTAAATAAAAGCACCCATTCTCTATAATTTTTTTCTTACACTGCCTTTGCATAATGCTCATTGCTTTTGACTTAGAAATTGACTTCAAAATATTTCAGTATAATTTTGTTTTGCGTTTTATCAATAATATATTAATACATATAATGTAAAAGTTAGTGTGAAGTTAAAATTAAATGGAGCCATATCATTTAGATTTTTAATTATAGCAAAATATGTAATTATTAAGTTACCTTAGTGAATTATAAATAAAAATTAATAATTCCGATTATGTTTCTTTATTTCACGATCATATCATTTTAATAACATTATACTCAAATGAACAATAGTTTAAAATAAGGTAAATTCATTAAATTATTTAAATAGAATAAATAAGGTAAATTATTGAACACAATTCGTTACAACAGATAAATTTGTATTAATAAATAATTGCATTTAAATACTCCTTCTACATTTTCAAAATATAAAATTTGGTTAAACTTAATTTTCTACAATTTAAGAATTCAGCTAAGTAGCTTGTTTTAACAAGTTTGACATTTAGGGCGTCTTCAACTTAGACGCTTATAGAAGCGCTACAGTCGCGCGATTGTGGCGCGGCAGCGGCACGTCTCAACCTTCAGTAAATTTTTGTTCAGTTATCGTGACTGCAAAATTGGCGCGCGCATGTCACGACAGTGGCGCTGCAACTGCGCTTCTAAATATTGTATGAAAATTGATAGTGGCGCGGCTGTAGCCTCATTGCAACGCTTCTATAAGCGTCTAATTTAAAGTCGCAAGTTGTCTCGACGATCACGTCCCACTAACAGGGCAGAGAAATAAATCCCGGAATTCCTGGAAATGGGTAGCTTCAACGTGGAATAGTTAGACCAAGCGCAGTTACAATTAAGTACAGTTATTTTTTTTACAATTTTCATGCGCATGCGCAACTTTTATACAAGCATTGTAAATGACTACACAATTTTGAAATACATCAAAAATATATAGTTTCGAAACGTAGTAATGGATTAACGCTTCAAACAACTATCGGACGGGGCTTCGATCTGTCAGATAACAAAAAGATGTAAATTGTCTACAGCCATACAAACAAACACCTCGAATTGTTCGTAATTCCTCCACGACTTCTTCAAGCATTAAGCTACGAACACATTACCCAACAGGACTAATAAGAGTGAGGACAGACAAGCGTAATCTTTTGAATTGTGAGTCGCGTTTTCTGAGTCGCTTAGTTTACGCTGCATTCGGTTTCATATTAAAGTCCGGTTTGTGCCACACGACAACGCAAAGTGCGTTGTTTACCGACTCACGCGTGCAATTATGACTGAAGGTTACGGAAACGTTTATTGGCATGTGGTAGTACTTTACAAATTGTTCTGGATGTTTACATAATCTTTCCATATTCAGTAGATGTACTCAGTACTTCTTGTTCTAACATCATCTAACGCTTCATGGAACGATTACACTATTCGAATTTCCGTCGAACGTAACCTACTAGACTCAAAAACCGCGACTCACAGCTCAAAAAATTACGCTACCCTTACAGTTGATAAAGTTTTTTTTTTATATTTTAAGTAAGCTGGGGTCTTAATTTTTCTGTGCCGTCAAAATTATTTACGGCTATTGTAAAAAGTATTATCAGATCAATCTAGGCCGGTTCCGATAGTTTGTAACTTAATACTTAAAAGTTATAGGTACACAATTCTACCGAATACATAGGGTGTTACAAAACAAAGTCCAATAATATATAGATGAAACGAAACATTATAAAAAAAAAACTTAAAAATGTTTCTACTTTTCTTACATTCTTATAGCAGCGACTACAAATTTGCATGGACAGTCGTTCCGTCTTAAGACGTTTGAAAGTGTGAATGAAACGGAAATTTTCGTATTCCACAGTATTAATCACAGAACACTATTACTCTAGCGAGATATTAACGGAATTACGGTGAGAAAGAGGCATTTGCCTTGGCTAATAGCCGTTAAAAACCCTACATTATAAGACAGACCAATTACGACTAGATAATGGTAATTCCTTGTAGGAATGTGGTATTCCCTCCAAGTTAATATGTTTAAAAGTTAAATGGATAAACATTAATTATTATTATTATTATTGGGGCACAACTCTGAGGTACATGATTATCATATAATTTTCTACAAATCGCGATATTTCTTTAGCATTTACAGATTTCTAAACTAGCATTAGACAGAGCTGTTCTGCCGCCGCGCCGTTAGTTGGAAGGGCGGTTATGACAAAAACTCAAAACCGAGAAAATAATGTTTAAAGAAATGTGATTAAAAAAATCTACATTTCTCTTGCGGTAACTTCATATATTATCCACTTTGAAAAAAAAAGTGTCAGATCGGCCTTTTTTAACAGGTCACGGCAGTACATGTAGCAATATGTTTTTTTTAATGTATGCGCGCGCCTCTTAGGGTCGTATTCTAGAACTCTACTCAATGCTCAAGTCAGGACTTGAGTATGATTCAAAGCACTAGAAATCATACTCAAGTCTGTTCAAATCCTGACTTGAGCATTGAGTAAAGTCCTGGAATACGACCCTTAGGGTCGTCAGAATCATACTCGAGTTCCTGCCATTAGTGTCGTATTTCCAGTGCTTGAAATCATACTCAAATCCTGACTTGAGCATTGAGTAGAGTTTTGGAATACGACCCTTAACTATGTCAACTAATGACGCGACGGTAGTATTGGTAATTTTATTTTTTGTGAAACTAGCTAAAAATAACGGTATGTGGTATAAAACGGTATTCTTACCTGTACACACTGCCGGAACTACGACCATGTTACTGTGTTACTATTAAATTTTAAACATTCAATATTTTTTTCTCTATTTTCACATAAGTTCGTAATATTTATACAGTTGGCTAGCTGAAGCAACTTTACACATACTTGCGACTATGGAACAATTCATAGTAACGTTTACAAATTTCACAAACGCACGTGTTGATTTTCACCTTACCTTTTTTCTTACAACCAAAGGGATGTAAATCGGCATTATACTTGTCTACATCTATGAACCGACTTTCCAAAATAAGTTTTTGTTTTAAGTCGTTTAGCCTTTCGTGTGCTTGGTCAATTCTCTCGCTGCTACTTTGTCTGTAATAGGACAACACATCTATTAATACTAATTACCAACAGATTACGGTCATCATCATTAGCCCACTACTGAACTCCACTATTAGGCGTAAGCAACTCCCGAAACTTTGCAAAGTAACACAATGTTATGTTAAATGAATGTAGTGGACGTACAGTGCGCCTTAATTATTAAATAGTTTATCTAACTGGCAAAGTCCAATGCTGAAAATTGAACCTTATATCAATCACATATCGTTGATAATTGTAATTTTAAAAACCGTTTGTATAGCTTCAAGTGTTGCTGAATGGCAATGGAGGACCAGTGAATGGACAACGGCGCTGTCAATCCTGCGAGTAATTATAATAATAATACTAGAATTCACCCTCTCGCTCGCACTCTACTGCGAGCGCTCGCTCGGAACTCGTTTAAAGGAGTCACCATACTTACGACACAGAATACCATTAAGCCGGTCAGGTCAGGTCGATCAGATTTTATGTTCATGAAATAAGAGTGAAAATTATGGTGTGCGTTTCGCGCCGACGGCGACGACGGTACGAGCGGAAGCGTAAACATCTTTTTCTGTTATTGCATGGGGATAAAGCTTTTTCTGACCGGCTCAAATCGATAATAAGTGTATGGTAACTCCCTAAAGTTGCAACGAGTACCGAATGACATTAGCGTGTTGTATATAACACAACATGGAGATCACAACCATTTTCTTTTAAACACAAAGTCATGCCATGATAAAACATTTTGTAACTATAAATAAAGTAAATAGTCATGAAAACTTTAAAATTTATAATCGAGTACAAGTGAATGTTACTCAACAATATTGACTACGCAACACTCTACAGCCTTCAATATTTTTATTTACAAAAAAGAATAAGTTACAAAGAAATTAATTAAAATGAAAATTAAACTTACGGACATATTATGAGTTAAACTGTAATTAAAAACAATGTATATTAAAGTTTTAAAGTACAGTGTTTGATTAAACCATTCCATGTCGTTCATTAGGAGAAACATTTTATTTTGGCTGTACAACTTTTGGTACTTTAAATTTTTTTGATGAATTCTCACGGAATACAAATGCGGAAGCAGTTTAACATGGATAATGCAAAGGTCGTGGAATAAAGGTTGTTTGTTTTACGGAAAACAACAGCATCTGTACGATTTTTTTAAATTAACTGTATTTTTTGCTTTTTGTACAGATCGAAGGAACTGCCCATGAAGATAAAAAATTTAACGATTTTTATAAGTCACAGAATTGTTGTTTTAAATGATAAGAAAAACACGTTTATAAATATAGGTTAATTAAAAATAGCCTCGTATGTTTCAAACTACACTCCAACTATATTATAATATTATTAATTTCAATTTAAAATTTTAGTTTAGATAGTAAAGTAGGGCTCCTTGTGAAGAGTTCGCCCAGGGTACTGCCACCTTACCTATTTCTGCCGCCATACAGTAATGCGACCACTACTGCGTTCCAGTTTTGAAGGGTAAGGGTGCTAGCGAAATTATAGGCACATGGGACTTTTCAACTTATGTCTCAGGGTGACGGGCGCAGTGGCAGTGCCCTTTGAGTGACACTGCAACTGTTATGGATAGGAGTGACGTTTACCACCAGGCGCACGACTTTTTCGTCCCGCCACTTAGTGTCATAAAAAATATTAATTAAGACTGATTTATCGTTTATCAATCGCGTGTGGTGATGAGTGTACAAAAAGTCAAAAGCTACTTAAAAAAGTTTCCAGGAAAATACAAAAACACTCGTGTTTCTGGAAGTAAATACAGATATCGCTGCGAAAGTAATCTGGGTTAGTAATACCAGTACTGTAACAGTTTATA